AGCTATCTAGTAAACCCTTCTACGGCTTCTAGTTAAGCTAGTTTCATATGTTTCCTCATATTGGGTGGAGAACTCTTGTTTCGTTGAATAAGTCTTGTTTCACCATCTTATTGAATGGAGATTTTCAGCGCGCAAAATTGTACTTATAAATATTGTGAATTTAGGGAACCTTAATTGAGCAACCGTTCGTATAGCTGGCATGAATTTTCCGTGCAAATCCGTACAAAGTCAATGTTTGGTGCAGTAGTGAAATTTTGCAAACTCATAAAACATTCCAGTGCTGGGCCCCATGTTCGCTTATTAATCCAAGAAGCTGAGAAAAGTGAGGAAACTATTAAATAAATCTTTATCTTACCGCATTATTTTTAATTCCTTCCTTCCAGCCAGATGTATGATAAAGGGTAATCTCCCTCTAAGTAAGAGCATGCTAACAGTTGGCGATGAATTACCGTAAAATATTTGTGCGTAACAACGAACAGTGGTTGACACTTCTAGCACACACCTGAGTAACCAGTTTGTTGAATTTCAGACGAGAACGTAAAAGAGGGAATTAGAGGTAAACCTTTATGCTGTGTCTAATGATTAGCTGATTTTTATCGTAAATTAAGCGAACATGACAAACGTCACTCAGACATCATCAACCGCATTTGGATCACAAAACGAAACATTTTCCTTCCGATTAGGGGCATGTGCAGCACAAAAGGATGCCGTGGGTGAGTTCCTGTGTAGTAGTTGTCGTGAGTACCATGTCCGGAGATCGCACAGTCAAATTTCAACGCGACTTTCATGTCCGTCGATATCTGTAGTACGCTAGCGGGCAAAATGGCTCAAGTGGTTAGAGCGCGAATTTACTGACCGGAAGGTCCGAGGTTCGGACCCGACCTCTGCCTCTCGACTTGTCCTATCTAGGCTTGGGCAACCTGGCAGTATCGCAGCCCTCGTGCTTCCTTCGGGTAGCTAGGCACCAGAAGCGTGTTACAGCTGAACGATTACTCAGTACGCTAGCAGCATATCATCCAGCATTACGGCCGCACAAACTTCAGGAGTGAGCGCACTCAAATAACCGACCGGTGTTCAGCAACCTGTGGGTAGTACGTAACGTCTAGACAGTGTACTGCGTTATCTAGAATTTTATGGCAGCCTGGTGCAGCACATTCGGCTGAAGAACAATCATATAAAAAAGAGATCCCATTTTGATACATGTGTGTCCCCCGCGCAAAATCAGCAACATTTTTGCTCAATATCCATGCATTTAAATCCAAACAAATTCATCTACCCCAAATTGTCATCAAGCGTTTTTCCCCTTCGACAATGCCATTCATTGCAAACCCTCAAGAGTGTACCAAGTACAAAATTGAAATTCATCGCACGCCGGACTTGCCGTGGAAAACAGCCACTTGTTCCTCGTCTCTGTATCGGTCTGAACTCTCATTCCTACTATACCATGAATCTAGATATTCAGTGGCTTCATTGATGAAAGCGATGTAAGCGTCATTTTTCGTCGTTCTTCCCCTAAACTACAAACACATGATCCATCGTATCTAAAACCCATAATCTATGTTTTTGTGCAGCAATCTGTGAGAAACGTGATGCCTGTGTCAGTAAGTCTCTGACAAACTCCCAGATGTTCGTTTAAGCACATCACTTACTGTTCGAATTCTTCAATGAATTTTGCCACCCATTTCCTAGTCCAGACAAAAATCACTATCACCTATAGGGGTCACGTATAGCGAAATATCCTAATTTCATTGACAGTATGTCCCGTAAACTAGTGGACATCGGGAAACACAAACTTGCCCTGTCAAAATTTACTTTGCGCCAGGAGGTATGGTGCATTCTTCAGGTGCGTCGTATGCGACCATTGTTTGTTGGTATCCGTGTCTGTGTTGGTCTGTCACGTAGAACAGCGCCAGAAGACGACCGCTCACGGCGGCCACATACGCATTGCCGCGAGCCACATTTTATATCCATCTAAAAGCCATGTGGCCAGTATAACTCTAGGTAAGTAGACAAGTGGGAGAGCTGGTGAGTACTCAGCCATTTATCACATAAAACAAAGAGCTTAATACAATCATCTACTCGTTAACATTTCCTAACACGGCTTCATTGGAATAGTGTTAGGCTCAGGCTGGATACGATAGAATTTCCTAACACGGCTTCATTGGAATAGTGTTAGGCTCAGGCTGGAATACGATAGAATACATTCGATACTTCATTCCTTTCTAACAAATAAGTATATTCTCCCAAGTCCAGAAACTTTCAGACCCTTTCATGCTCTATGGATGACCTCAAATCGAAGCAAATCTGTGCATCTCTGCTTTTGATCAGTTCGATTCCAACAGCGTCCTCGGCAACAGATCGTTCCCCAGGAAACTTATTGCCAATCCACTCAGCCACCAAGCACGTCGATTCAGTTTAGGCACAAACGTGCCCGAGGATTTCTCAATACTAAGCAGCAAAGCGGAGGCGAGAAATATATATTCAACATCATCAATGCAAAGACAGACAGAGAATAAATCTCCAGCGTTCATTTCCACGACTTGTTGGAATTGTAGTGTTCTCCAGGGAAATGTTCACGTATCAACCAAATATGGTGGGGGCAGCTCAAATAGCAATTTTAATGACATACATTTCTGAATTCTGGCAATCTAGTAATCATCGCAACATTTTAGTGTATAGAATTTTCCTCTTAAATAATCGTACCCTTCAGAAAACTGCAAAACGCTTGCTGATCAGGACTCCGGAAGTACGTTTTTTCCTATGAAATACTGCTACTATGTTTAGGCTCAAATTTAGTCCAACTGGATTTCGAACATCATTTCACAGGACTAGTTAACATGAGTAAAATAGGATGCGTTGAATTTTTTCATATTATCTGATAACATTTTACCGCATTCACAAGATTAAAAGGCAAATATTGCGGTTTATCAGAAACTGGATGAACGAGATGCTTTAGCTTGGATTATGAAGTGATAAGGCTAGTATGAATTTGAGTGAGGAGCTTATTTCAGATAAGCATGTAAGAAAGACAATGGGTTCAAGATCGAAGGTCACCGTCCGCCATTCTCACACAGGACAACATATGTGGAAGATGTATTTTAGCGCCGATCTGCGTGAGTGGAGGCCTTGAATTGGGCATGGAGCACCACGTGTATGGTCTACTGGCCGAATGGGCTTATGAGCAGTCAGTCAGGATGAATCAAACAATGAGCTTGAACTTGATATCTGAAAAATATTATTTAAACTGGATTCAGGCTAGAGGGAAATTCCAATATGTTCGATGAATGTCTGGGGTGCTTCAAGTGTAGATGGAAGCAAATGCAACGAAAATTGTACTTCATTAATGAACTTGGTACTCCAAGTTTCCAAGTATTCCACACTTACACATTTCCCCCTTTCTCATGTAGCACTGTACACCTACAGAAAGACATTTTGTAAGTGATCCCGACCGTATCAAGGTTTGATTAGAGAAAATTAATTGGGCATTTCTTTTGACCGCTCCCTCAACTGAAAATGTCTGCTATTGAAAACAACTGTTTTGTTCACTTTTTTGTTCTTTTGCAAAGAAACTACTCATTTTGTTGGCACAACATTCAGGACAATCCACACATCTATGTCGGTGACAAAAGAATGAATGTGAATAACAATACTCAGAGACAACCAGAACAAAATGGTGGTGATATGAGTACATGTAAAAGCCCCATAACGGTTTACACCTCCTCCAGCACAGAACATTTGCTTACATGCTTGAATCTAAGTTCATGAAGTCAGACATTCGTAATGGTGGACAGGCACGGCATTCGAAACGAGATCATGTTAGCGTCGTGGTCCATGCGAACAATTACTGTGTATGCTATATCCGGGTTTGCTCATTTTAATATCTGACATATCAAGGAGCTTTTGGCTCAAAGTACACAAAAGAGCAATGAGGGATCGTGCTGCAGAAGTGCTGTGGAAGTTCTTGGGACTAGACTAGAAAGACGGACAACAACACAGCAGTAAGTTACTTTTGCTAAAATGCCACGCAGGGTACTTCTACCGGTAGACGATGACCTGATGCGTTTGCCTAGTTGGTCTAGTGAACGTTGTGATTCGGGAGTTATTTTACTCTACCTGGTGAACACTAGTGATGATGAACCTTATCCCGCATAGGTTCCGCAATGTGTGCATGATAAACGCGCGGCTGAATTAGATCGCGATTGATTTTACATTCAAAAGACCACCAATTCATCATAACGTTGTTCATCGTTGTAAGAATAGTATATTTTTCTCCGATGACATTTAATCATCACCCACAGATGGAATAAACATTGATTTTTTTATAAATTCACCCAAATTCTATTTACAACTCTCCGTCTTTTTATTTCGTTTTAGAGCCGCTGCAGTATGCTCTTCGAGGCGTTTCCTTTCCGTATTCCATTTTTAAGTGCTTTATTTCGTAACCACTGGCATGAAAAGACTTCCTAACCCTCTCTGTTTTATGACTTGCTTGAGTTGGTCTCTGGATTGACATATTACACCAAACTGCAGCATTGGACTTCTGCACGCAACAGTAAACTGGATAAAATAGGGCTAGTATGGGTCTGAAGAAATAAAAACGGGAAGTGAACATAGGAGGTTCGTTCTAAGAAAGTCCGCTAACGCCATTCTATGATCATGAATCATCGGTTGAGACCCAGAGCTTATGAGAAGGGTGGCCTCGGAGCCCGTACTAGCTGCAAGGCATACCGCAGCCGGTGATACCAGCCACTTTTATGGCATCTGATCTGCAAAGCCGTGGTTGGAAGAGAGTGTAACCCAAAAACTCAAAATATTTGAACGATATTTTGATAAATTATCTCGGGTCCAGTTTTAGGAAATTCAAATCCGTACCCTTAAGACCAGCTGAGAGTACCGATGTGCAGTTATAACGAAAACATGCAGTGGCGAACCGGTCAAGACTCATATAAGATTGAGCACAAACTGGCATGAAATTATCCTGGTCTAAATTCCACTATTCGAAAAGAAGTACATCCTGATCGATGGCCACTGTTTTGTGCACGAAGTCATGTGACGGCTTTAGTCCTGTGCCTGTTTCCTGGATCGAAATGAAACGAATGCCAGATTCAATAAATCTGCACTTTCGTTTTCTTGTTGTCATAAGGTAAAACTTCCGCACATTGGTTTTCAGGTTGCTGAGGTAGTCAACGATTTTGATGCCGATCAGGATTCTTTGCGGGGGACACTGTCGAAATTTCAGTTTTTTTGAAGCCTGCTCAATGCTGCGTAACCTACCATTTATGTGCATCAGAGAACCGTTTGCATGATCGCGATGGAAACTCAGATACACCTGGCACCATTTTCCGCCCATATTGCTTTAAGTTTGGTTGTCGGCAATTACTCTGATAACGTCATTTTTTCGGTAATGCCACGTGAACCTTTCGATAAACATACTCATTTTCAGATCAATTTGGTTTTCACGGGAGACTCAAGTGAAGCTCTGGTTTACGATGTTCTTGTCAAAATCAGTCCAATTTGAATTCAAGCAGAACATATGGTTGACGGAAACTCGGGGACTGTGGCTACCTGATAAGCCCCAAGAGAGGTGGAACCGGTCGGAAGTTCAGTAATTTAAAATGTATATAGTTTTCTTTTAACGGTGCGCTTTAAGTGTCATTCTGAGGACAGCTGGTAGATGGTGATCTTAATTAAGTGAACAGTTCGCCTGGTAACCATCATCCATCACGTCGACAGATCCCTTGACCCGAAACTCTGTTTGATGTTTACACAGTGCAGCCTTCATATGCGAACCCTTTATAAACAGAGTGAGATGCAGGGACAGGTCAAATAAATCCGGCAAAACATTTTCGGGAGCTTTGATCATCCGAAAAATATCCACCAATCACATTTGACGAGCGGTGGCGGTTTATTAGTTTACTACCCACAAGGCTAATGGAAACCCAGTTGGATTATTTCGACCGTCAATGAAGTAAATTTTAGTACAATTACAATGCAGTTAGCTGATGAAACATAACTCACCCAGAAGCCAAATAGAACCTCATAATTTGAGGAGCTCAATTCGGGGAGTACATTTGCAAACTTGGGTGGTGTTTCTGAAAAAACCGTTTAAGTCATACACTTGGAGTATTATTCTGCTACACGTCCCAACCAAAACATTAGGTGATCTGTTTGAACAGTATCATGAGCAAGAAACTCAGTTCAGTCTCTGTTTACGTCAGCACAATTTCACTTGGCGTATTCGGGTTGCAGCCTATTCCGCAGACTAACCAGTGACAGGAAGAAGGCCTTTGCTGCGGAGTTATTTATTAGAAAATGCCAACTGACCACTCACAGGCTATTGGACAGGGAAGCAAAACTCTCATTTGCATCTTACAAAAACTGAACATTCATCTTCACTTAAAGGCGTTTTCGTAAACCTTCCTGGATATTCATTGACTATTGCCCAAATCCAAGCAAATGCTAAAAAATGACCCCACAAATTCCTCAACAGATCTCTCTTTTCAATAGATGCATAGCTAATTTACAAAAAGAAAACATACTACTCACATGCCTCCTCCGTCAGTAGTATCACCGTTACACCAGCTTGCACCAGTCGTATTAGACCAATAAATGTATGACAAGCATTCACACAGCAACACCAGATTTTATGATTTCCAAAACAAACAGGGCCCAGTTCTCCTCTTTTACCCCTAAAACTTTCCGAACTCACGTAGGTGTAGGGTGCCGTTCTAAAGGCATCACAAATTGTGTGTCAATAAGATCCGCAGCACAAATGCAGAAAACATGTATTTAAACATCGACATAACTTTTTTCCGAGACGGAATTCATACGACTGACCTGATTTTATCAGCCGGAACTTAAATAAACATTGATCTCCAGAAACGAAGAACCCTAAGCAGTGTTCGGACAAAACAGAACATTAGTGTTAATCAATCAATAGACTACGGTCTAAGTATCCATTGCACTGATTTCTGGGCCCACATGAAAGAAACAAAAAGCAAAGCCGATTAGAAACCTGACCAATTTTACTGGTTACTCATCTTGTTTAGAACGGGCTTCCTGGTATTAGTGGAAGTAACTAATTTGAATACTAAGCCCTAGAGTGTTGTGTGAGTAGTGCAATTTATACATCGAGTTTTATTCTAGGACACATTGGGTTACATTCGGAGCAACAATTTGAGTAGTTCGACTGCTTTGGAGAAAATTAATTGTTGCGTTTAGTTTTGTGCCCTTGTCTATTCGTTTCATAGATTCGATAACTTGAAGTCCATATGGCATCTTCCAATTATGAATTTATCCTCGGGACCGTTTGTAAACAGAGTGAGGTGCAGGAACAGGTCAAATAAATCCGGCAAAACATTTTCGGAAGCTTTGATCACCCGAAAAACATGCACCAATCACATTTGACGAGCGGTGGCGGTTTATTAGGTTACTATCCACAAGGCTAATCGTAACTTATTTGGATGATTTCGGATGTCGAATAGACAATTTTTTATCGAATAAGTCGAAACAATTATGTGGAAAAACGTTATTTACCCTAACGCCAATTGGATCCTCGAAATTCGATAGCTGAACTTGTGACGTTCTATTTGATTTTTTGAGCATTTTTTGATAAATGCGCTGGAATAATTTGGGAAACATGAACAAGCACCAGGGAATGTTGAAGAAATTACGCCAACCAAATGACGTCGTCTAAGTGAACTCATGCTAGATTAGCACACCGTTCTGTATAAAATAATCGACTGCTTTACGTAGGTTTGCTAACTCAGGGTTTAATAACTCGAGGGAATGATTGTCTTGGATCTGGCTGTGTGCGTCGTTACAGCATCCGCGGTTAGTATGACATGGAACCCTCAGATTTGTCCATCTTTGGTTCGGCAAGTCAGAGTCATTTAATCATCTACTTTGAGGTGGTACCTCGCTGTTTATCAGCTTAGAAAGAATTATAGCTTCGGCAATACTGTGACTAGAAAATATCTAAAGTGAGTCCCATCTGATGGTAAACGCTTTTGATGCGAAAGGATAGTAAAGAAGATTACCAGTGTATGGACGCAATGCACTGCTCAGAAGGTTGCTGAAATTCTTCGACAACCCACGACGTGTTTCGCACTTCTTGGGGCTCATCAGGAGGCGCAGTCCCTGAGTTTCCGTCAACCATGTGTTCTACTGGATTACTGGTGTGTTCAGCTGCTAGGTGGTTGCTTCCGAAACGAATCTGTTGCTGGGTCTATAGAAGCACTATCGGTCTCTCAGAGATGCAGTTTAGTTGGAATTTAGTGCAGGTAGACTTTTCAAAATTCAGAGAAGATTTGGGTTACTGTCTCCGAGGACGACTTTCAAACATTCTACAGGTTTATAGGGGCCGTCACGATATATTTGTTTGATTTGTGGATCTACGGACATGTCAATGGCTAAGCGAAGTGAGAACCCTGTGCGTAGACCCTAAAGGCGTAATGCAGTGTAACAAAAGACAACTGCATGGTCGGAGTGCATGCAAGTATTCCGGAGAGAGTGGCAGGTAGTGATCGACTCTCCCTACTGGTAAATGGGGACAAAATGGCTTCATTTATATTCGAAGCTTGTACGTTGGTGTGCGCTCCGAAAAATTCTGTGGGTAGTACGTAGTCTCGAGATTTGTATATTTCATGTTCACATCTCTCCTCTTCACCGTCGTCCTACTTTCCTGACCTGGAAATTCCAATGCGGCCAGCGTGTGCCGGTAGCGTAGTGATAAGACACTCGCTCGCTCGTCAGATGTCGGGAGTTTAAATCCCGAGAAGAAAATGCATTACTGAGAAGTTCCGGTGAGAACAAAACTCGAATTTGGAGCTTTATTCTCTGGTACGGATTTGTCAGAACAATCTCAATAGGACAGGAGAAGAGCCGTTCAAACGAGAGTGCTGTAAGCATGAATTTCGAACGTGACAACAGTGTTTGTTTGATCTGAGAGGTTAGGGTGCCAGCCGACACCAGATCCACATATATGTGATATGCTCACTGCAGGAGATTAATACCCTCGACTAACCGCCAAATTAATAATAGCCTTGCCATAGTTTTGAAACCTAGCACCACAATCAAATCTGAAAAAATAAAAAAAACTCAAATTAACCTTGTTTTCTAACACGGTTATAATTTATTTAATAGTTTTTGCGGCCGCAATAAACCGAGACTTTCAGCACGCTAATCAAACTTTTTGACAAGTTTATTCGTAATGCACCGCTCAAAAGGACGCTGAAAATTCTCCGACAACCCACGACCAATTTCGCCCTCCATTCAGGGCTCATCAGGTAAGCAAAGTCCTCGAGTTTTCGGCAACGTATGTTCTTCTTGAAACCATATTACATGAAATTGGCGAATATACACTGATTTGCAAACAAATTTGGTTTCTCGAGAGACTCACCTGGAACCCAGCTGAATCACTCGTTTGTGATGTTCTCAGGCAACTGAATGTGCTGCATCAGGCCGCCCCATGCTTCAGTTGGTACGATATTCGAGATATCACGATACATGTATACATTTGTCATATACCACTCATAGGGTTGCTGAAAATTCTTCGACAGCCCACGAACGGTTTCGCCCTTCAAGTTCGAGCTCATCAGGTAGGCGCAGTCCCCGAGTTTCCGTCAACCTTATGTTCTACTTGAAGGCAAATTGCACGAAATTAGCGAATATACACTCATTTGCAAACTAATTTGGTTCTTTCGACAGACTCACCTGGAACCCGGCTGAATCTCTCGTTTATGATGTTCTCAAGCAACTGAATGTGCTGCATCAGTTGCTACAATTCAATGGGATACCGCGATACATGTTTAGATGTAACACACTACTGCGCCTACCTGATAAGCCCCAAGAATAACAAAGTCGATCGTGCGTTGTCGAAAAACTTTCAGCAACGTTATGAGTAGTGTATTACGAATATACATATGTATTTCGCTATTTTGCAAGTTAATTTCACGATCTTTACTGCCAGATAGCAAGATCACTTTAGGTTCAGACTGACATACTCGAGTAAAACATAGTATGCATGAAAGTCACATAACATCTTCCTGGTCTGTGGTTTTTTTTTACAGCTTTTGTGTTCTCCGGCAAACTGGAACAGCATTACAGGTGAGTTGTGTCATCAAAATACGTAAAACTCTTAGTTGTTTGCACAGATTGGCCCGCATTGATGAATGTTTTCCAATCAAAGTCTTCGGATTACTAGAATAACGTAACGAATTAAGCAGTTTCATAGGTCTCAGTCAAGCCAAGTCAAGTGAATTCGATTTTCAGGTATATAATAAAAGACGATGCTCATTGGCCGTGAAGAGAACTCTGGCGACACCCACGAAGGTCATTGTTAACGATCTGAAGACAAGCACTTATATACAGTCTTCTGAATGTTGAATGCATACAAACAAACAAAATGGGAACTGGATACGCGCCGGCTTTTTTGCTGTTCGTTGGTAAGTGTTTTCGCCGGTTAAAGTGCGGCCGGATAAAGTGCGTCATGAAATTTCATAAAAGAAACTACTCATAAGGTTGCTGAACTCTTCGACAGCCCACGACCGGTTTCGCCCTTCTTGGGGCTCATCAGGTAGACACAGTCTCCAAACCGATTTACAAATGAGTGTATTTCTCGAAAAACAGTCCAATTTGGGTTCAAGTAGATCATAAGTTTGACGGAAACCCTGGGGTTGCGCCTATCTGATGACCCCGAACTGGAAGGGGGAAACCGGTCGTGGGCTCTCGAAGAGTTTTCAGCAACCTTGTGAGAAGTTTCCTTTATGAAAATATACTGCGATATCCCGAATATTGTGCCAACTGAATCATGAGGCGGCCTGTGTGCAGCACATTCATTTGTAGGATATCATAAACGAGAGTATCAGTTGAGTCTCGTGAAAACCAGATTGATTTGCATCATGAGTTGTTTACATCCCAAGAACTGGATTGCTGCAAATTTCTGCTTTTAGGTATTCAAATGGGCTGTTGTGCAGAGCCCAACTTGGAGCGATACCAAAATTGCATGGGTAAGACCAAGAATTTGTGCTTTGAGCTTGTGGACAAGAATGTATTGATCCTTATTTTATGGATACATTGTTACTTTATACAAGCGGATAACAAATCCAATTCATGCTTCACTAAAGGCCCACAAAACAGACCTCGAACACAACTGCCAGTGGATATAAACTTTTGAATTTCATAAGACTAGCGATACTGAGTCGAGCTTCGCCCATTACGATATTATGTCAGCAATATGTATGTAATTTTCTGTCGATATAGTCTCAAAAATAATTGTGGGCTGTTTTTGAATCGTCTCATGCATGTACCGTCTGTAGATACCTGATAGGAAGCAGTTTCACCATGTCACTTCCTTCTACCGCAAAGCGGGTCTAATTCTTTGTTCCAAAAGATAAGTGGTCATTATTATTCAATTATCTATGAGAAGAGGGCGTCGCAAACTATCTGGAAGCGTAACCGCTGGCCACCAAGACTCCCTCAATGAAGCCCACTCCCTCCCATCAGCATTTCTTTCATTTGCACAGCCACCATTCAAAAACTGGCTCGCTATCAAATTCACCCCCTTCTCCCAAGACGGACGTCTTTCCAAGAAGGGGTCTCTCCCTGTCAACTTCTACTAATAGGCCTACTTCACTTGACTGAAAAATTATTTTATTCTGCGCCAACCTCCCCCACCCGCCCCCCGATTTGCGTTTCTGTCGATCACCGGTAGGTGTAAAATGCACTAGGCATTCTTCTCAGGATAAGTAATGGTATTATTGCCATCTCTATGCAACAACTATTAGCTACTCATGCATTTACTTCAGGTTGTCTGGTGCACAGTGGGCGATATTCATGTACTACAGTCGTTTCTGACAGCTCGACACCTCTCTGGATGCGTGCTTGAATGGTCAAAACAAACAAGGGTTTTCGCAGCTTTAACGTATGAGTACGGCAACCTTTGTAGATGAAATATAAATGTTAGCCACTTCATATAGAAATTAGGAATGAGCATTTGAAGCAACTACAAAATAGCAGAACAAACTACTCGTAAGACTGGTAAAAAGGAGTTGAGTTTACACCAAATTCCCTTGGTTACTTGGAAGATATCAACGTCCAGCTCATTGCAAGCTTCACACAAAATGGCCGAGGATGGCACTGCCTGCTTTGCTCAGCGAGGACAGGGGGAATAAGGGAATGATAGTAGTTTGTTGGAAGTGATAGCCCAATCTGTGCACCAACGACGAACAAATCTGCTTTTCAGCATGGTAGGAAGTGAGAACGACGCAGTGAGCGTGATAGCTCTGATGCAAGAATCATTGTCTGTGTGACACGACCATAAAGATCGGGGGCACTAAACACTCGTTTTTTTCTTCTTGCAAGTCGCATCTGGTTAGAAGACAGTTCCTAACACGACTGAACTTATCGTTGCCATGTCACTGACTGATTTCCATCGGATAAAATGCCTGGCAAAGACAGTTCTGCGAATCGAACGGTGTTCTGGCCCACCAAGTGCATGACTTAGCGAGCGTAACCCAAAGAGTGTGACCAGTTGATCCAGCGAGGGAGAGTGAAGTTTCCAGAAAATCATCTAAAGTGTTTTATCACTAGAGATTTGGTTATTCTTATTTTAGATGAGCGTTTGTTGGGATAGCATACAAGACAAATAGAGAGATTACCTCTCTGGAAAACCAACTGAATGCCAAAGGGATGCACAAATTAACTCAATGGGCTCGCGAGACTACTGTCAAAAGATTCAAAGCAATATGGAAAATGGGAAATAGTTTCATCAACTGTCCTGCAAACCCTGTTAGATAAGTGTGTACCTCCTGTTTGCCAAAACCAGCGTCATTTTGTAAAGGTCCACCGCCAAGTTCCCCGGATACATTCTTCAGTGCCTTTCGCATCGGATGAATTTGGCACTGACTTATTCACAATGCAAGGCAGACACTAGCCTAGGCTGAACGTTCGGCCTCATTTCAGCCCAGTTCTGGTCAGGTCAGTTCGACCAATCGAACAACGGTTGGTTTTGTTAAGCACAATTGCCTGCGACTAGGCTGGATCTTCAAGTCATCATTGGTTAGCTCCTAATGGAGAGGGGTGGCGGTGGACAAAACATGGGTATGCCTCTTGCAGGAAAGCAGTGGAGGTCACCAGCTTGATCTATGGGTGGAATCTATACCTCAATAAGTCGAGAAGCGACAGGTGAAACAGAGTTCGTCAAAGTATACCATCAATCGGCTTACAGCATCAAGAGATGAAGGACGCAAGCATAGTGTACTGCCATTCAGCATTTGAGTGAGACAGTTAGTCGATCGCACTCAGAAAGCGCACAGCCACATCAGAATTTAGAAATACCAGACGATTCGCAGCATCAACATACCACAGGAATCCTAGTGCGAGTTTACACAATTTCCAGCACGGCAAGATTGAAGCACACATCTGTCTGCTGAGTACGATCCGTAAACTTATATTTCCAGCTTTCTGTTTTCAAGTGCACCCTCCGCTTTCTGTTGCAAAGTCGACAATCCCCGAGCATTTCTTTCGTCGGTGTTCGAAATCAAAGTCTTACATTGCATTCTATGTCACATAGATGAGCCTCATTCGTGTTCCTCATCTTCAGACACATGCGATGAGAAAAGAGATTTTTATAAGAAAGGTGAGTATTCTCTTCCACTTTGGAACCAAAAGTGTTCCACAAATTATGTGATCCATTTAGTCATTGATGTACAGAGTAAAGACAGATGTGGTGTTGAGCTAAGTTAAAAGAAACGATGGAGATTCCTTTAGCGTTACTAAAGTAACATGCAAGCGAATGTTTTTTTTAGAAGCTCACTTAGAACCCAGCTGAATCTCTCGTTTGTGATGTTTCCAGGTAACTGAATGTGCTGCAGCAGGCCACTGGTCGTTACGGTATTCGTGATATCACGATACATGTGTATTCGTAATGCACTACTCATGAGGTTGCTGGAACCTTACGAGTAGTGCGGCACATTTCCTCACAAAACCACGGCCAAAGATCATCACCCTATTAATTTAATGGTGGCGTAAGTAAAGAGGAACAACATTGTTCTTCAGCCATATGTCTCTTACGATATGAAACGCAATTATCAAGTTTTGGACTTTTAGCGTTATGTACTGCCTCGAGGATAATGAAACCAGCAAGCAATTGTCAATCATGACAATTGGCCAGAAAATAACAGAATGTCCTTGCATGTAGCTAGCCCAAAATTGGTAGCAAGAGCGCTTTTAGTATAAAAAAAAACCGTGTTTTGAGGTACTTATGAAATTTACCACGTTCTTTTCCACTATTTGACAAACTGCTTCCAAGTCCCATTTTCTTCATTTCAGGGAACAAGGAGTTTTCGCATATAAAGTGCCGTGGTAAGTTTGTGTAGTTAGACAACCTGTGCTGGATCAAAACTGTCATGCTTCCCACGCTACCGACTTCCGGTTAATGTGGGCGGATCTCTCCGCCCCACTGTCACTCTGAGTCAAGCCTCAAGGCAATTTGGAGCCGATCAGTCTGAAGTTAATGACTTTCTGTATTTCACAAGAGTCGTTTATCACAATACGTCAGTATTGATTGCATTCGACAACACCATCTGATTCCTCA